CTGCCTCCGCAAGGACCATCTTGCAGCAACCTCTTTCCAAAAACACTCGCAGGGGCTTGCCAACACCACACAAGCACAAAAGCACAGATGCACGAAGGCTGCAAAGCACTGCTGCAGCTCATCATGCTCCTCCACAGCACCATGCTTAGGATTCTCTTCGGACGCATCCCAAATATCTTCTCCACACAGGGAGACTCCACAGCACGACAACAAAGCCGCCTCTACAGCTCGCTCAGCTGCACATGCCACACCACTCCTCACTGCTCTCCAGGGCCACAAGGAGCCCTTCAACACAACTCTTTGCCTGGCCCAGCTGCCCACTTCTTTAACCACCATCCCATGGGCTCCATCCATCCAATCCATGCCTCTCCAACTTAAGAGGCACGGATGTCCTGAGGGACAGTGGCAAACGCTTTCCCTTAGTCCAGGCACACCATGGCGTTGGCCCCATCCAACAAGCCTGCCCTGGAGCATCACAGTCCCCAACAGCTCCTCCCTCTTCCTCAGCACAAGGTCCAGCACGGCACCTCTCCTTCTTGCCACCCCAATCCCTTCTCCCAGGACCCTGTCAGTCACACATTCCAGGAACCTCCAGCACTCCCTCTGCCCTGCCCTCTTCTCCCTCCAACCCATAGCAGGCTGATTGAAATCTCCCAGCACAAAGAGGCCTTACGAGCCTGCGGCTGCTCCCATCTGCTTACACACAGGGCTAAACCCACACCAGCCTCCTGATGGGGTGGCCTGCAGCAAAAAGCCCTGCAGCGCCCAAACCCTCACCCTGCCCTCCCTTCAATCTTCACCCACCAACTATCGCGTGCCTCCTCATCCTCCCCCACACACATTGCCACGCCCTCCACACGCTCGCTGACGTGGACACCTACACCCCCCCCTCATCTCCAGAACCTCTCTTGCCAAAAAAGTGGAAAACTTTCCACTCCAAGGCTCCAGACAGAGCCAATGAGACCATATCCACACAGACATGTGCACGTCTCTACTTCCTCTCTTCCTCCTTTCTTTCCCATACTACCCGAGGTTGGGTAAAGCCATCGGAGCCTGTAGGATACACTTCTCTGCTCCAGGCTCAACACGACCGGCTCCCTCGCCCTTTCACCCAACAAAAGCAATCTCAGCCCCTCAGCATCTTCTTAGCCCTATGCTGCACCTGCTCCAGCAGCTCCACATCTCTTCTCTAAGAAGGAGACCAAATTGGACAGAGCACTCCACGTCAGCCCTCGGCGGACAGCACAGGGCTCCAGGTGAGGGAGCTGGACGTTCCGAAACGCAACACCCTTCACTGGCGACTTTCTCCTCTCGCGCTCCAGCCGCCTCAAGCACAGGGGCAGACAGAAAACAACCCAAACCTCACTCCAAGGACGCACGTGGGCCACCGCAGACGGGGATCAAAACTGCAGCGAAAAGCAGCAGCAAAGCTTTTCCCTTCTTCCTCAAGCTTTCCTCCTGCCTTCTTTTCCCCTTCTCAACAACTTCACACGTGGCACCTGGGCCACCTCCATCCACAAACATAGCCACTGCTCCAGCACCAACACCCATAGAAATTTCTTCCCCTTCCTTCCTCCACGCCCTCACTGCAGGAGGGGGATCCCCAAGCTCCAACCACTGACATCACTGCACATCCCTGCCCAACACGAAAGGAAAACAGTGGCTAACAGGAAAACAAAGGAGAACCACAAAGGGAAAGGAAAACCAACCACAGCCACCACAAGGGCACTGCAGACGGAAAAAACTCCCGATGCACAACACGGGCCCCGCAGCTGCCCTGCAGCTGACAGGGAACCCCAAACACCCCTCCCCGACACAGCTCACCCCAAAGGCTCTGACCCAGGGCTTTCGCATCCTCCCATCGCCCGCTACGCACAACCTCCCCCACCACACCACCAACACTGCCCTCCACAACCACCGCCACCACAACAAAACACTTCCCCCACACCAACACACCCGCCAGCCCCAGCTGGAAACCACGGACGGAAACTCACCGCAATCAGAAAGCGACAAAGGGAAACACAACGCCACACATAAAGCCGCGCGCCCGCCACCAGCCCAAGCACACCAACCACCAACAACGACCAGCCTCGCCAGCCTCCGCACCGCCACCAACCAACAGCACCCACCGGCACATCATGGCTGCGCTCACCACCCCACAGCCCCGCCTGTGCCACGCCGCCCCGACACTTCTGCTCCTGCTCACCGCTCTCACCGCCGCCCTCGCCTGCCAACACCTCTGGACCCAGCACGACACCTTCCCCTGGGAACAACTCCAGCTCCTCAACGACATGGCTCCCAACTCAACAAACACCTGTCAACTCCACAACCCGCCCTTCTTCCCCGACACCCTCCGCCACAACAACCTCAACCCGCACCAAGCCGCCGACGCCGCCCTACGCATCCTCCAACACCTCTTCCACACCCTCAGCGACAACAGCACCTCCCAGCACTGGCACGCCCAGCCACGACACCGCCTCCTCAACCAACTCCAGCACCACATCCACCGCCTCGAGCAATGCCGCCCCGACAACGCACGCCTCTTCAAAGGACCCCGCAACCCCCTCACCACCATCAACAAGTACTTCAAGGACATCCACCTCTTCCTCCACGCCCACAACCACAGCGCCTGCGCCTGGGACCACGTCCGCCTCGAAGCTCAAGACTCTTTCCGACACCTCCACAACCTCACGCGCACCATGCGCCGACACCCCAAACACACACACACGCCCACAACACCCCTCTGACACCCACCACCCCCACCCACCTCTCGCCTCCCGCCTCCCCTCACCCCACACAACACACACCGCTCACACAACGCGCCCGCACCCTCCAACCCCTCACCCTCTCTTTATACAGCCTCACCTACTGATTTGCACAAAGACTTTTATCGCCTTATTTATTGACTTATTTATCTATTTATTCACTTATTTATGACACACCAAATAAAGACCTCTAACAAAACACTTCCCACTGCCTCTTGTCTCACCAGCACAGCAACCACCCTCTGCGATTCGGGGAAGTCACCTCCGCTCAACACCTACACCCAGCCCTCATCCAAACAGCCTTCTCCCAGCATCCCCGCACCACTCTTCTCCCTGCTGCCTCCGCAAGGACCATCTTGCAGCAACCTCTTTCCAAAAACACTGCCTGGTTTTCCCATCAAGTTTACAATTATGTCTTGCATCCTCGTCTCCTCTACTCTTTCCATCTCCACTGACTTATGATTGGATCTCCAGTCCTCTTTACAATGGAACCTCTTGCAGCACATCCAATGGATGGCCTCAAGCACAACTATGTGACACAGCACTGCTCCGACATAGACAAAGTGAGGGAGTAGGGGTTCTTCAGCTTGCAGATGTAAAGTCTCCAGGCAGACCTTACTGCAGACTTTTAACACTTCACGGCAGCTTAAAAGAAAGCTGGGAACAGAATCTGAAACAGGGGCTGGAGTGACAGTGAAAGGACTCTTGGGATGGACTTGGGAGCATGTAGCTCCCTAGTCCCTAGTAGGACTAGGGGAAATGTCTTTAAATTGAAAAGAGTAGGTTTAGATGAGGCATTAGGAAGACATTATTTACTGTGAGGGTGGTTAGGCTTTGGCACAGGTTACCCAGAGGATTTGTGGATGTCCCATCCCTGGACATGTTCAAAGTCAAATCAGATGAGGCTTTGAGCAACCTGGTCTAGTAGTAGGTGTCCCTTCCCATGGCCAGGGGCTTGGAACTAGATTACCTCTATGGTCCCTTCCAGTACAAGCCATTTTACAACTCATGTTGGGGAAGCTTTGCAGGACTGTCTCCTGTGTTAGGGACAGGGGAAGACCGTCAAGAGGAAGGAGCGGCACAGACATGTGATGAACTGACCGCAGCCCCATTCCCCATTCTGCCACCCTGGGGAAGAAGGTAGAGAAAATCATGATTGACACTGAGCCCAGGAAAACATGAGGTGTAGGGAAGGTGATTTTTAGATTGAGTTTTATTATCTGCTCATTACCCTATTCTGATTTGATTGCTAATGAATGAAACTAATTTCGCCAAGTCTGTTTTACCCCTATTGGTAAATGATCTTTTCATCTTTATCTCACCCCACAAGCCTTTCATGACATGCTTTTCTCCCTTGACCAGCTGAGGAAAGGAGTGAAAGAGCAGCTTGATGGGCACCAGGCATCCAGCCAGTGTTAATACACTACACCATGCCTCTCCTGGTTCTGCAACTTCAAATGTTTTGTTATTTTCTGCCTTGAAAATAATTCCATTCATTTCAGTTTGCAATTCTTCCAAGTAGCATGACTTGGATAGATATTTAAAAGTCTTCATTAATGTGCTCAACTTTATGTTTTGGGTTTTTTATTCAGGGTCTGTAGCTGGACAGAGCTTTGTCTGGGTCATCCTTGTACTCACTGTATCTGACTCTGGTTGCCCCAAACTCTATATGGAAGACCCAGTATACTGATTTGGACCTTAAATTATGGCACTTATCCAGTGATACCTCTTTTTTAGATCGCCACTTGTTGCTCCACTTGTGCCTCTACAGATACACTGCATCACTTAACCGCGTAACTGTTCTCAGCTACATACTACCAAACTTTCTCTCCAAGATCCTTATCCTAGCTTTCTAAAAAGAAAATTCTTCACCATTTTTGCAGCCTAGGCTGAGGCTCTTTTTGACTCTATCTTCAAGCTCAGCCCGTCTCACATGCCATTTACATTCTGGTTTCAGATAAGGAAGAAAACTCTGCAGACGCTCCTTTCTGCAGCTCACTTGCACTTGTTACCATGCAAAGATCTCCACCCATGAGAGCCTTGAAAACCTGTCAGATACACTTACTGTCTGCCAGTTTGTGTACCTGCTGCTGAACCTTACCTCTTGGTAAAAGAAAACATTCATGCTCACACTTCATCTAGATTTGACAAAATGTTCTAATGTTGCTACAACAATTGGAAATTTCTCCACTCAGAAGCACAGAGCACATTCACTTCTATTTAAAGATTTTGCAGATGGGACAAATGCATCATACAACAGTTGTTCTATATCCATTTACATTACCTTGCCTGTAAATTTAGAAAACAAAATGTTTTTAAAAACTCAGAACATAGAACATAAGAAAGAGCTCTTAAACACCATTAAATGAACCCATTTATGTGGCACAAATGATCAACACTGAAGACAACTGGTCTAAAATTAAATAAACCAAGTCATTTACTTACCATTGGCAGCCTGGATTGAAGCATCTGAAGATCATCATAACCATAAATCTGCTTAAAGACAGATAAAAATACAAGATCATTATAACACTTTTCTCTGATGCTGATCAATTTGGGGCTTTGAACAGAGTTTGACTTAGGTCCATTCTATTTTAAAGGTGTACAGCTTTATGTTGCATTGTGTTAATGGGGCACTGTAGCATTTTAAGGCTAGTGGAAAACTAAGGTTAAAATTGGCTTGTCACTCTGATGTTGTTTCCTGATGACAGCAGTCCTCTGAGGGGAGTTTGACTGTCCCATCTTCAATACGGTTTTCACAGATGCATCATTCCTCAACTTACGAAAAATCTACAGGGCATTCAGGTTTGGGAGTAAGAGTAACAGCCCTCTTTGCCGTAATCATTACTTCAGAGAGCAGCAAGATTTAAGATTTGATGACTAGACCGCAAAGCAACCTATGATATCCGCTCACATTCAGTCTGATATAGAAAAATTACCAGAATAAAGGTTTTGATTCAAAAAACAGATGACCAAAAATACCTCAATCCTGGTCAAACACCAAAAAGTTATGTGCAATCTTTCAACTTGGCAGATAGGACACATGGCACATTTCAATCATTACTGTGGTAAATCTATTCCAATAACACAAACTTAAATGAGCCTAATTCTATTCAAAGGGCCTAAAACCTGGTAACACTGAAAACCATAGCAACACATGTTTAGCTACAAGAGCAGCCAGATCAGGTCTGCATCAACAGCTCTGCAGTTTACTACCAATAGTAAACCCTTACTGAATATATTTCATATATTCTTTACCACTTAGAACAAGAATTCCAGGTGTGACATGTGCCACCAAAAATGCCTTGGCATAGACAGTAGCAGGTCTGGAGGGCCCACTTGCGCCAAGGGTTAAGCAATCAAGGACAAAAACAATGAAACTGCTTACTGGGTAGGCAGGCAGAAGTCCTCCAGGTCCCACAATATACTGGTTATGCAACAAGGGTGGTACACCTTGGGGCAGGTTTGGGGGAGCTTTGCCTGTAGAATCAAAATACAGACATTTTAACAAGCCTTTAGAAAAGAAAAGGCTTCAGCCTTGAGACAAGATAGCTGCACAGGTTCTGGTGGCTGCACTGTCTTAGCTTGCAAAGAGCAAAACTAGCAGAAGAGTTTTGTGCTCTTTGATGAAAATGCTCAAAATAGCCTGAAGAGTTTAACCATGCATTTAGGAAGGGAAAGCACAGGCTACTTAAGACTGAAAACAGTCCCACCAGAGAAAAGCCTAATTTTGTAGTTTAGTTTGTCCAAGAGGATTACAAGAATTACAGAAACTTCTCCTTTCCTCAATCCTCTCCTGAAGGCAAATTTATACATCATTTGCAATCTGAAAGAGCAAATTCTCTCCTTTCATTTTGTGCTCCATCAACACATTCCCCCTTATCACCAGCAATAGACTGGAAAGCACTAAATGCTGCCAGCATACTTTCTGTGGGTGACTTACTGCAGCTGGGAATAGCAAAGAGAAGATGACTGAAATGGTTTCAGCTGCCTCCATGAAGCAGTGCTAGGAAGCAGAACAGTAAAAGAACAAAGCACTTCAGCCAGTCATCAGACACTTCATTTACAAGCTACGGAAATGAGAAATCCTTCTGTAAGTAAGCTTGATCTTAGTATTAGATCATTCACTTCCCTCCATAGGATTTCCTTTTAGCAGTTCAGGTTTATTAGGTAAGAAAGAGAATTAAGCGTTGCTTCCACATCAATGCAAGAAGCCTCCCAGCCTTCTCTCTCCATGTACCCCCTTTCTGAAGTGCTGTTTGCTGTGGAATATCCAGACACCAGACACTTTCTTCCTTTCTATAGAAGTGGCAATAGGGATGTGACATACAATAATGAGGACTCTGCAGTATATTCTGATACTGCCAAATGAATTCAAGTCACAGAGAAGACTGAAATTAAAGCTCGTGAACTCCCAGCCAAGATCTGATCACAACTTGGAATACAAAATTGAGTGAATTTTCTAGCCCAAAACTTCCCAAGTCAGAACTGCTCTGGTGCCTATTTATAAAGCTCTTTGGGGATGGAATGTGCTATATAAATGCCACATAACACCCTAACGAATATTTCAAATAGACAAAACCAGGCAATTTTATTTCATAAGCCAGCAAATACAGCACGCTGGAAATGCTAGTCAAGAGTGTGGACTTCTTAGCGCAGTTATGGCTGGTGAGATGCTCAACTGACAGCCCTGCTGACTGAAATCCTCTGTCTATCCACGGATCTGTCAATATTGCCAACCTGAAGACACTAAAGGAGCTGCCCGTGTGGTGGCAGCTGGTATAGACACACTGGTAACGCTCAGGCCAAGGCTGTTTGTAGTGTTCATACTGCTTGCCATGCTGACAACCGAGGAGGTGGTGCTAGTGGCTGAGGTTGAAGCAGTTGAAAAGGTTGTTGAGGGCTGGAGCGAAGTTGTGTTCTCAATACTAGTGTGCTAGAAAGGAGACAAAAAGAATGAGGATACAGAGCAAATAAACCACAGTGG